GTAAGATCTCCCATCCAAACGGGTACCTGGCCCTAAGCAAGTAAGTCTGTTACACATGTGACTCGCTAAATATGTTTGTTAATCCCCACAGCAGATGGTTGAAGTCTTGGTCGTCTCGCTTAGGCTTGTGATCAAACTCGCTAGTGATGTGTTTCCCAACGTGGGCGGTTCGAGAAAGGACTTTTATTTACATATGGTAACGGTTAGTTCGACGTTAGTCTCCCCAAATAGAGTAGGTCACTTTTAATTCACAAGTTTGTTGGGCTGGTCGACTTTCCTGAAGATTACGAGTTTCTGCGATGTCTTGGATTTACGTTTTCATTCAGAGAAAGAGAATGCCTGTGACATAGGTTGCAGCACTCTCTGGGGGGGGGGGGGGGGGGGGGGTTAGATCCAGTTTCTCCATGTTTTTTTGGAGTGTTGAAAGCGCTGGCGTGCTGAAATACACAACACGCGATATCAACGGCATTGCGGAACACATAAGTAGCCGTGTGTGAAGGACATGTGTGAAGTGAGCTAGTGTGTTAATGGGCGGGGTCTGGGGAGACAAACGGCGAACTAACCCGAAAATGAACTGTAGGTTACATATGCTGACATTAAAATTTTAGAAAGGCTTAGGTGGGGTATGGCATAAAAAAAGGTTGGGAAACACTGCGCTAGTCGTTTAAAGTCTGTATCCGCTAGTGCAGTGTTTCTCAACATGGCCAATGCCGCGACCCATTAATACAGTTCCTCATGTTGAGAAGAACCTCCACCCTAAAATTATTTTCGTTGCTGCTTCATAACTTCACTAAATATGTGTTTTCTGATGGTCTTATGCGACCCCTGTGAAACGGTTGTTTGACCCCCAAAGGGGTCGCGACCCACAGGTAGAGAACCGCTGCACTAGTGGTTTATTTTATTTTCAATCCTTGAGATATGATGTTGGCAGAAGCGCAGGGACATGTGGTCTTAAGCACTTTAAGGACAACTCCCCCCCCCCACCACCCCTCCTTTCTATCTCCGTTCTTCCAGAATTGATTTAGGGACACTTCCCTCTCCTCCTCCTTTCCCCGTTTTTCCAGAAGTGATTTAGGGACACTTAACTTACCTCCCCTTTCCTGTTTTTCCAGAATTGATTTAGGGACACTTAACTTCCCTCCCCTTCCCTGTTTCCCGTTTTTCCAGAAGTGATTTAGGGACACTTAACTCCCCCCCCCCCCCTTCCCCGTTTCCCGTTTTTCCAGATGTGATTTAGGGACACTTAACTCCCCCCCCCCCCTCCCCCTTTCCCGTTTTTCCAGATGTGATTTTGGGACACTTTACTCCCCCCCCCCCCCCCCCCTTCCCCGTTTCCCGTTTTTCCAGAACTGACTTAGGGACACTTTACTCCACCCCCCCCCCTTTCCCCGTTTCCCGTTTTTCCAGATGTGATTTAGTGACACTTAACTGCCCTCCCCCTTTCCCGTTTCCCGTTTTTTTTTTTCAGAACTGACTTAGGGACACTTAACTTCCCTCCCCTTCCCCGTTTCCCGTTTTTTCAGAACTGACTTAGGGACACTTAACTCCCCCCCCCCCCCTCCCCGTTTCCCGTTTTTCTAGAAGTGATTTAGTGACACTTAACTTACCTCCCCTTCCCCGTTTCCCGTTTTTCCAGAACTGATTTAGGGACACTTAACTTACCTCCCCTTCCCCGTTTCCCGTTTTTCTAGAAGTGATTTAGGGACACTTTAACTCCCCCCCCCCCCCTTTTTTTTCCCGTTTCCCGTTTTTCCAGAACTGACTTAGGGACACTTAACTTCCCTCCCCTTCCCCGTTTCCCGTTTTTCCATAACTGATTTAGGGATGCTTAACTTACCTCCCCTTCCCCGTTTCCCGTTTTTCCAGAACCGACTTAGGGATGCTTAACCCTCCTAACCCTTTCCTCCTCCCTTTCTGTGTAAGTGTACCTTATCCCCCAAGCCTGGCTAGACAGAAGCTCTATTTATTAGGCTTTCGTTGTACATATCATAAATAAAGGACCCTTTTCCACGCCTTTAGGCGTATAGGGTACATAGGGCTAGACCTATATTTCATAGACCAGTCGAGGGTGATATGGTCATCATCACGCTGGCCGCCTTTACTTCCCAGTACTTTACCTAGTACCCCGTTATTCAAGGATGGATCGACCTAGGAGTCAAGGTCATTTTTTGAAAAAAATCCACCTCATTTAGGTCCTTAGCCACCCCCCTCTCCCCACCCCCACCCACCTACCACCAAACGATTGTAAGGAAGCCGGAACCGACCCCACCCTCTTTTTTGTATGCTCCATACACTTCTTCTTCTTCTTCTTCTGCTACTATTTCCTCCTCCTTGCTCCCGAAACTTTCACTGACTGACCGTGCTTCCTTTGTGTCTGTCCTCAGCATCACGGAGAGCCTTGACCTGCACGGTCACACGGTGACGGGGGCCATGAAGGTGATGCACGAGTTCTTGAGGGAGCATGAAGATGGTGAGTACAGGACTGCTGGTGGCTCTTGTGTCGTCAAGCAGGTTCGTTATGTGGGTTGAAATTAGGAATTAGTCTCCCTTCCTTTCATTCTTCCTCTCTGTCTGTCTGTCTGTCTGTCTGCCTGTCTGTCTTTCTTCTCTTTCTTTCTTTCTTTCTTTCTTTCTTTCTTTCTTTCTTTCTTTCTTTCTTTCTTTCTTTCTTTCTTTCTTTCTTTCTTTCTTTCTTCTTTCTTTTTTCTTTCTTTCTTTCTTTCTTTCTTTCTTTCTTTCTTTCTTTTTTTCTTTCTTTCTTTTCTTTCTTTCTTTTCTTTCTTTCTTTCTTTCTTTCTTTCTTTCTCTTCTTTCTTTTCTTTCTTCTTTCTTTCTTCTTTCTTTCTTTTTTCTTTCTTTCTTTCTTTCTTTCTTTCTTTCTTTCTTTCTTTCTTCTCTCTTCTTTCTTTCTTCTTCCTTCATCCCTCCTTCCTTTGGTCCTTCGATCCTATTTTCTTCCTTCCCTGCTCCCTTTCTTTCTTTCTTTCTTTTCTTTTTTTTTTCTTTCTTTCTTGTTTGTTTCTTTCTTACTTGATTACCTACTTAGTTCCTGTCTTTTCTTTTAAATTATTTTTTAGCTCATTTCCATCCCTCCCCTCCCCCACCTCCTTCATACTTTCTTTCTTTTGTCTCTCTGAGCTAACAAGGAAAAATAAGTTGGGAGAGGAGAAAAGAAATGTGGTTAGGACAAAAAGTAGTTTACCACTGGACTGCAAAAGCAGGAAAAGTAAAGAAAAGACAAGGTTTTTCCTCGTGAAGTAACCATGATATATTACTCACGGCTCAAGCGATGAAAATGTGTATAGTGAATTACACAACAACTACAACATAATGCCACATAGGCAGCGCATAAACATAACATTTGTACGAACTACTATTCTGAATCATACAAATGGAATATAATAATTACATTCAACATCCGTTAATTTTCCTGAACACAAAACTAGCGTGCTTCGCAGATAAAAATGCATTAACAATCAACAACGCTTCCAAACAGACCATGTGCTAATCAGATATTGATCTAACACAATCTGCCTACTGAACGTACCGCCAAACACCAAACCAGTAAGTCAGTTCATCTCTTTGGACTCAGTTCGTCGTACCTACGTTGCGATGAGAACCCTGCACGGTCTTATAACGATAAGAGAACTACGTGCCCTTAGGACGACTGGCGAGACCAAAGAGCGAAGAGAGCCTTTTTTGCTGGGTCTTATATCAGCTTTCCACTCGCTAGCCAGTTTTAGTTCGCAAGTGTAGCCAAACCCAAATTAACAACAGGTTAAATATATCCCACCATTCTGTTATATTTCTTTCTTTCGTTTGTTTTTCCTGTGTGTATGGGCGCCTGTAAGTATTTTTATGTGCCTTGCATTGATTTCGAAAATGCTATCGAGAACCGTCGGTATAGAAGCAGTTTCAGACGACTAAACATACATTTGTATAGAACAACAGCAACAGCCAAAAAAGCTTGGGTTGGATCTGCAACGTCCTGTAAAGCACTTAATTAAAAGTTGCAGTTGAACGACTTAGAACATTGTCTTTCTGTTGATAGAATACCGGAAGAACCGAGCGCAGCACGTTCGTCACGTGACCATCATCACGGGAGAAGGTAACCATAGCGACCCGCACGATTCAGCCAATCTGGTGAAGCCCACAGTTGTGAACTTCCTCAAGATCAATAAATATAAGTGAGTCGATGTATCTCTTATATCTCTATCTGCCGTCCGTTTTAGGATGCAATTTTTCTTTATTTGAAGCTCCACCCTAGCTCTTGCCAGGGGCCGCAATATAGCCAGGCCATAAATATGGTCTAATGGCTGAACGCGGTTGGGACCTCTCCACGGTGATCCTCATCCACATGATAGGACATGGTGTCATCGGGTGTTTATCGCTTGTGTGATGTCCTGGAGGGGTAGAAAGTCAGCCAGTCTGTACCTCTTATCTTCTTTGATCGCACCAACGATGCTGGAGTCGTCCTTTTTCATGGTTCTTGGTGGCATGCAGTACTAAGCTATTTTATGTGGCTCACATAACCTAGCCACAATTATAACCTGAAGCTCCCGTTCAGTGATGCTGATTGGAGATGACGAATGTTTTTCTTCAAGCCTACCACTTGTACCTCAGGCTGGGTTCTCTTTGTGTGTTGTTTTTGAGTGGTATACCAAGTTATTTGGAGTTGTTCTTTCTATGTATTTGCTAGGTGTAGCTAGTTACCGAAGTTGATATTCTTTGTTCTTGCTTGGAGTGACACGTTGTAGTCGAGGTTTCAACTTTGCTGCGATCAGGTCACCCTATAATTGTGCCCTTATTGTGTTAGTGAAATTCACAGCAAATGTCCTCAACTGTCCTTTTGATAACTAGTGGACAAAAAAATTAATACCGAGAAGGGGAAAAAAAACATGCACAACGCAGTAACTGCATAAGGCAGTCGCTACATGTGCCAGCACCAACAATCGCCACCGGAATTGCAATGTGTCGTTGCTGGAAGAAATAGGCAGTCACGATAAGCTGGTCATACAGCAGACAAAATTATTGCATAAGGCATATTGCCAGACCAGGGGCCAAACTAGCTATATCAAGACATAGTCGCTGCAGTCACAGACGAAAAAAAATTATCCACACGAATTACACAGCTCACAGTGTTGCGACAAGCAGTTAACTCACCGACTTCTGCAGTGACACAGTAGACGCAAGTCCATATGTGGAAAATGCATAAGCAAACCATTGCTTGTTTGTTATGGATGTTTTCTTTTGCTCTTGTTAGAGTTCTTGTGGGTAATTATTTAATTTATATCTACAGTGAATAGTGCTGTGCAGGCTCTTATCTAACTATAGCTCTCGATTGTTATGTTGTCTAGTGGGTTAATCTATCTTTATACTTCTTTCTATGAGTGCCAATCAATACATTGTCTGTTGTTCATTACATTTAATATTTATACTGTCTGAAGGGTTCCCCGTTTATTTATGTGAATGGCGTATACACAATGGAACCTGCCAATAAAATACCTTTCTTTAATGTTTGTGAATTCTAGACAAAGCATTACAGTCTACTGTGTTTATACAATTATGCTGTTTTGTTATTCGAACTATGCTTTTTTAATATAAATTTAAGTAACCTATGGTGCCATTTCAATGGTTTGAGATGAATTCTGTGAGTATTCCATAGTTGTGGATTTCAAGCTGTACGATAGACATGGCCAATGGAGACACCTTTTTTTAGGGGTGTCTGGTTGACCAGTTTCTTAGTGCACTTGTTTCCATAGCGAGGCTCACACGCTATTGGGAGGTGACAGGTTCGATTCTCGCCACGGTAACTCTAGCTTTCGATTGTTATGTTGTCTAGTGTGTTCTCCTATCTTTCTACTTTTTTCAATGAGTGCCAGACACTACATTGTCTGTTTGTTAAATACGTTTACATGCTCTTGTTTCGTTTATCTGTTATATAAGCTGTTCTATGCTCCTTCATTTTGTATGTCTCAAGCATTGTTCTGCATGCTTGTTTGAACTGCCTATTAGTGTAAACATAACCAGAGGTGTTTTGAGAGCATGCATCTTCCGTGTGGCTACATACGGATGTGAGTCGTGGACTATCTCCCAGTCCTTAAGAAAGAAAATAGGGGCTTTTGAGCTGAAATGCTATAGAAAGATTCTCAGAATATCTTGTACAAAGTAGATGAGAAATATTGACATCTTGAAAGATCTGAACATCAAGGAAGATTGGCTAATAAACAGCATCCTTTCTCGAAAGCTGAAATATTTTGGTCATATCAAGCGCCACGACGGACTGGTAAAAAATTATAGCAGAAGGCATGGTACCAGGAAGGAGGAACAGGGGCGACCGACACGAAGATGGGCACAGGATATAAGTGACTCTTTGCGTTTGAAAGTGCATAAGGTGGGAGAACTGGCGAGAGACCGAGTTTCTTTCAAGCAGACTGTGATGAGAGCGACGTTCTGCAAAGGACCTGCTACATGGTGATGATGATGAACCAGAGCTGTGTCAAGATATCCAGTCAAGACTCCGCAATATGTTATGGGTTGAACAGGAAACATAGATAATAAAAGGAAACTGGTCACTTCATCTTATTGCATTTATTTATTTATTTTAATATCGCGGGTGTGACTCTATTCTCATTCAACATCTTTCTTAACAATAACAGATATATTTTCCGGGAATGCAGCCTGAAAGATGGTCACCCGGTGACCAGCGGTGTGGCGTAATCAGTTTGCCTGTGTAAGCGATAGTAGGCAACAATTACACAGGAAATAGTATTACGTGATATTTTCCATCTTGTCGCTTCGCTGTTGAGAGTGTGCGTGCCAAGTTAGCATACTAGTACTGGTAACTAGTAGCTTTCTCACGTTTTAATTTACACAATGACGATTGTAAGAGTCGATTAGAGCAATGAAATGCGCACGTCACCAATACCCGTGACACAAGAGCCACTATTGGGAAAGGGAATTCGACAGGTGTCATGTTCATAAATCTCGTTCAGCCTTATAACGTAGTTATACTAGGGTACTCTGCTTTTACAAAGTAACCTGGAATCCGCTTAGGGGGGTGGGGGATGGGGGGGGGGGCTTTTTACAGCATGTCATGTCACACCCTAATGCAATATATTGCGTCTTAAAGGCACGTCTGTAGCACATAAAAGTATAGGTTAGTTGCGTATCCTTTACAGGACGTTGCAGAACCAACCTGGCTGTTGTATGGTTTTTCTAGGCAAATTTACGTCCAGTAGTTTGCCATTGCTTTCTTGACGGTCGGCTTTCTTGATACCACTGTCGAAACCAACGCAAAGCGCATGGCCCTCAGTTGGGATCGAACCCTGCATCCCGGCATTACGAAGCATTCTCATCGACTTAGCCACAGAGCCGACACATAAAAGTATACAATTGTGAAATTCATCGCTGATTTGTTTCTGTTCTCTTTACAGGTATGAGGTGTCCAGTGACTGTCCAGGTCTGATCAAGGTTGACTTAGAATCTCACATCTTCTAGATTCTAGATCAGCGGTTCTTAACCTGTGGGTCGCGTACCTTTTTGGAGTCAAACGACCCATTCAGATGGGGTCTCCAAAGACCATCACAAAACACATAATATTGAAGTTATGAAGTAGCGACAAAAATAATTGTGTGGTTTCACGAAAAACTGTGTTAAAGGGTCGCCGCATTAGGAAGGTGGAGAGCTACTATTCTAGATTACAAAACACACCTAATAAAACGCGCCGATGACCATGGGTCGCCAGACGAGAAGGCACCGTTGGGATCCAATATATCCATGTTTGAATCTTCCCCAAAGCCCAAAAAGTCGGCCATTTGTTTAAGTAAGGGGACAGAACTACAGATACAAAAGCTAATTGTAAATATGCGATAGAGACCTTGTTTGGGGACAAAAAAAGAGTAGTCGCACTAACAATTTACATTTCATAGGTTAATATTATAACTTCCATCTCTGATAGATCGATGTCGGCGTCTGTCGCTTGGGCGTTGCAGCTCGCGCTTCATAATGCTGGGCTGCCGGGTACGATCCCAGATGTGGGCGATCAGTCTTGTGTTGGTTTCTACTGGTGCCGAGAGCTGACCGTTAAGTTAGCAATTAGTAAGTAAGCAAAGATCCAATTTTATGCCTTAGGCGCATCGGACACATGGGAAGAGCATCCCATATTTTTACAGACCAGTCGGCACTAGGTGGGTAATGTGGTCAGCATTACGCCAGTCGTCTTTACTTCCCCAGGACAGTCATCCTGGTACCCATTTTAGGCTGGGTCGACATGCGACGCCCCATACCATGATAAAAATCCGCGCAGCCAGCACTGGGTTTCGATCGCGGTACGTTGGAATTACGAGTTGGACTTGCAACGCCTAAGCCACGGACGCTGCTTCAGTGAGCAATGAGCACTGGTAAACTAGGTTAGTTGCGTATCCTATACAGGACGTTGCAGAACCAACCCCAACAGCCCCTGACTGTTGTGTGGTTTTTCTAGGCAAATTTACGTCGAGTAGTTTGCCATTGCTTCCTGGACGGTCGGCTTTTTGATAGCACTGTCGAAACCAAAGCAAGGCGCATGTCCCGCAGCTGCGATCGAACCCAGCATCCCGGCATTACGAAGCATTGGTAAACTACTAAACTAAAAATTTGCCTTAAAAACCACAACACCAAAAAATTGCTGGGGTTGGTTCTGCAACGTCCGTAAAGGATACCCAACTAACTTTCTGTGATAGAAAACAGTAAGCATATCTGTCTTCGAAATGACCCAGGAAAGTAAAGTGCGTTGTTCCGTCTTGAAAGAGTCAAGAAAGACATACATATTTTCATTTGCTGCTGCTACCCCTACATTCCCCCCCCCCCGGTGTAACCCCATTTAACCTTTGACCCCAGTGTAACCCCATTTAACCTTTGACCCCAGTGTAACCCCATTTAACCTTTGACCCCAGTGCGTGTTTATTCTTAAATAAAGGTTATATTTTGTAGATGACTTTTTTTTCGCCCCTCTCAAATTTGTTTTAAAGAATATAATGTTTCAAATGCACTATATATCGCAGGGTGATTGTTAACGAATCTCGTGGGCTTTCTCTATTGTCCTTCCTCCACAGTGCCTGGAATATTTTGGTTGTTCGGACATGTTTGTTATGAACATTACCTTTTTGGTCATTTATAAAATATACATTCTATTTAAACATTACGCATGCTATACCAGGTAATTCGTGATACTTTGTACAGTAACTGCCACAAACGAGGTATAGTATTTTTGTTTGATTTATGACATATCACAGTTACTTACCTACTATGATAAAAAAAAAATTTTTAAACTTTTAGTATTTTAACTCATATATCATAAATGAATATGCTACCTTATTAAAGAAAACAGCTACTGTTTAAAAAGTATAGTATCTAGTAATTCATCGTATACGGTGACTCGCTGCAGCGCACGGTCGGTGTTTGAAACCGGGTTCACCCAGCCTCTAGGAAAAAGGGTACTAGAGTAACATTTTGGGGTAAATGGAGGAATGTCGCTTGTAGCTACAGAGTTACGTGCGGATGGCGACACAGGCGGACAGTTTCTTATCAACTGTCTGTACTGGTGGCAGAGCACTTATGGTTTATAACCGTGTGCAATGACGCTGGTTCACATCTCCCGACTTTACCTTTCATCTTTTATCTTTCACCTTTTACCTTTCACCTTTTACATTTAACCTTTTACCTTTTACCTTTCACCTTTTACATTCACTGGCTGCTTCCGTCAAGAGGGTTCTAGTATATTTTATTATTCTTGTAAGTTACAGCCGAGGTGTTCGGATTCGTCAGGAGAGCAGCCTTCATTACCCCTGGCTTTTCCACATGGACCGGTCTCTCTCCTTTAAGCAGCCAGCCACCTTCCGACAGCATAGCACAAAGCCCGAACTCCGCAGCTACATCTACCTATGCATGTTGTTGTCACGAGCGGGAGAAGAGAGGGATAAGAACATTGATCTATTTCACGTTTCAGATAATGGTTTGAAATGGCGAAACATAACCGCCCCCAAATATAGGCTAGGCACGTAATGATAATGATAGGATGTCAATACATAACACATTCCACATTTAAAGAATAATGTAGAATATCATAGTTACACAAAACAAAATGTTACATCGGAATTATGTGAAATAAAGTCATATACACTTATTATTAATATTTTTAAAAAAAAATTGAGAAGAATAATGTACATAATATTATATATTTATTTTCTGCGATCAGTGTCTTATTATAGCCATGTTTGTGTTGATTGTGTGGGAGCTGGCGTTGGTTTTCTTTCCCCGTCCGTCTCAGACTCGTTTCCAGCAACAATGAGTTATTCATGAACACTTCCCAACACGCGTTTGTATGGTGTTCTTTGAATGAATGAATGAATGAATGAATGAATGAATGAATGAATGAATAAATGAATGAATGAATGAATGAATGAATGAATGAATGAATGAATGAATGAATGAATGAATGAATAAATGAATGAATGAATGAATGAATGAATGAATGAATGAATGAATGAATGAATGAATGAATGAATGAATGAATGAATGAATGAATGAATGAATGAATAAATAATGGAATGAATGAACGAACGAACGCATAAATGAATGAATGAATGAATGAATGAATGAATGAATGAATGAATGAATGAATGAATGAATGAATGAATGAATGAATGAATGAATGAATGAATATATGAATGAATAATGGAATGAATGAATGAATGAATGAATGAATTGACAGCACGAAACTCCGGACATGTTCTGCACGTATCGTCTCTCTCCTCAGGGCCAGCTGCAACTTGATTAAAAGTTCGCCGTTTTTCCCCTGTTCGGGTAGAACAATCGTCTAGGCCCTCTGCTCAGGCTCAGCCGAATCAGTCTCTCCTGATGTGGATATTCTGTTTTGTTTTGTGGCAGTTTTCAACTGACCACATAGAGTCTTCGCGGTTTCCGCTTTATCATAAAGTAGCGCAACGCCCAGAGGAACGGTAGCAGATAGTCTTTAAGCCTATTCGTTAGGTCCACATCAGAATGTCGTGAGTAAAAGACAAATCTACGACATGCCTCCAGTCAGAGGTTCGTTTTGAGATTCATATCTTCCGGCCATGTGGTTCAAAGGTTAACACTGCAGTTGTCTACTCACCAAGAGGTTCTTTTCTGTTTAGCGACCACACCCTGCGTGATTTAGGTACATCCCATATTATAGGAGGCGGAGAGGGGGTTGGGGTAGTGCTAAACAGGAAGAACCCACAAAGGTTTTATTTCGCGGTTTGGAAAAAAAACACCGTTTTGGTGACTTTTGGTTACATATACGAGAATCCCACCGTGGCAGAGATGACGACCTAGCCACATAATATTCCCGAAGACATGATTGGATATGCTACAGGCAGCCTTCCTTGTTGAGAAAGTACAAATAAAAGCTGTTAACCTGAGTGCGCCGGACACTGATTTCTATATTCGGGTGGTTTTCTTTGGGTGACCATGGTGCTGTTTCATATCTGTGTATTTCTTGTTTTCGTGGGCCCCATTTTGTTTTCAGGGGTGGAGGAGGGGGTGAAAAATGTCCACTGCCTTACTAACAAGCATGTCGCAAGAGGCGTCCAATTAAGGATTTTTTTCGTAAGAGCGCATCTGCCAGAGAGGCGAGAAACTAACAGTCTGCACACAAGTAAGCCAGATCTGTAAAAGGGATGTGCACGTGAAATTCAGGTTCTGAAACTGAGCCGCACACCCACCCCCTCCCCCTTTCCTATTCCCCTTTCCTATTCGTGTTTGTTTTAGCTTCCCCCCCCCCCCCAAAGAGAGAGAGACATACCCTCTAATTTACGACTCCTAGGCAGAATCTCCCATCCCTCCCCAGAAAATGTGTAATGTGACTGAGTGACCCCCCTACCCCCAGTTCTCTACGTTTTCTTTATGTCGACGCCCTTAGTTTATTTTGAGCTGCTACGCCACTCAAAGAACAAAACACCCTCTAATTTACCTTCTAATTTTCTCTCTAATTGTAGGCAGCTGCTGGAATAATTATGGAACACGATGATACAAGACCGGCAGTGGAACACGTTTTAAAAACAAGGGATATAATTACTGGTAGCTTTCTCTATTTAAAGAGTTATCAATCCTGACAGGTCGACTGTTTTCCCTTTCATTGTCTGCCACCTGAAAGTTGCAAACGCCAGCGAGAAAAGCCAGTCGTATTCTGAATGTCAGTGCTATTGACAGTACACTGCAAGGCTAAAACAAGGAACTCTTAAATCTGTTCAAAAAGGGCAGACAGATCCACCTGTAGTTGATCGTATCCCACTGTGGAATAAAGGGCAATGAAAGCTGTGATGCCGTAGCCACGAAAGGTAGTACCAAACAAATACACCAGTGAAACAACATGCAGCCACACTCAGCACACCTTAAAATTAAGCTCTGGGGAAATCTGAGAGACCTTCAGCCTTCAAGCCAGTTTATGGTCCACAGTAGATACAACGCATGACAAG